AAAAAAAAAAAAAAAAAAAAAAAAAAAAAAATCTATGGGCCGCGGGGGATGATGGGAGTTGTAGGCGCCGGTATAATACGGTTTAATGGGCCGCGGAGCATCACGGGAGTTGGAGGCGCAGCTCCAATGGATTCCGGTGAGGCGCGGGGCTTGACGGGAGATGAAGTCCCGGCTGGAATAGCGCTCTATGTGCGCCGCGGAGCATGATGGGAGCGGCAGCGGGAAGCGAGAGCGGAAAAGCAGAGGAGAAACCGCGCGGCTCCGGCGATCCCTGAATTCGGAGCCCCCGTGACCATCGCTCCCCATCCCGCAGGTGCCCGGGGAGGGCGAGCTCGCCCCAAATACCCCGGGGGTCCCTGGGTTTGGGGCTTTTTGGGGAGATGTTTGAGGATGGTAGGGCTCCAGAGCCGAGCCGCAGATGCCCCTCGGGGGGTCCCCGGGAGGTGTTTTTGGGGGGTCCCGGTGGCGGTGGCGGCAGAGCCCCGGGAAAGGGGCCGGGGGGATGCGGGTCCCCCTATAGTGGGGGTTTGGCTTCCCGGGCCGGGCCCCCCGAGCTCTGCCGGGGCCGCGGGGGCGGGGGGACCCCGGTTTTGGGGAGCCCCGGGAGAGCCGCGGCTTCCCTGAGCGGGACCCCAGAGAGAGGAGAGCCCCAGAGCCACAAAGCGGGGACCCCGAGACGGGGGGGACCCCTGGGATTGCCGGGACCTTGGAGGGAGGTGCTGGGGCTGGAGGGGCGGCATGGCTGGGAAAGGGATTCGGGGCTCCCGGTGCCGGCAGTGGCTGCTCCCAGCATGAGCCCAGTTGCTCCCTGCGTGTGGTTCCAGTTTCCTCGGCACCAGGATGAGGCAAATCACTCCCAGTCATTCCCTATTAGAGTACAATTTGTCTCCATTTTTCCCAAATGTTATCCCCATTTTCCCACATTTTTCTCCCATTTATCCCAAATTTTTCCCATTTTTATCCCATTATTATCCCGTTTTTGTTCCATTTCTCCTCATTTTTATCCCGTTTTCATATAATTTTTCCCCATTTTTATGCTATTTTTTTATTTTTCCCCAATTTTTCCTCATTTTTCTCCTTTTTTCCTCTATTTTCCCCCTTTTTAACTCATTTTTCCTCAATTTTTCCCAATTTTTCTGATTTTTTCCCTATTTTTTCCTGCATTTTTTCTCAATTTTTTCCCCCATGTTTTCCTAATTTTTCCCAATTTTTTTCCCATTTGTAATCTTTTTTTCCCCATTTCCCCATTTTACCCTCTTTTTGCTCCATTTTCCCCCTGTTTTTTCCCCATGTTCTCTCCTGTTTTCCCCATTTTCTTCCATTTTTCTCCCACTTTTGCTTCATTTTTACAATTTTTATTCCCATTTTCCCCCCATTTTTATCCCAGTTTCCCTCTTTTTTTTTCCCCATTTTTATCCTGGTTTTATCTCATTTTTCCACAATTTTATCCCCATCTTCTTCCATTCCTTTCTCCCATTTTCCCCAATTTTTCTCCATTTCCATCCCATTTTTCCCTATTTTTATCCCATTTTTTCCCTATTTTTTCCCATTTTGGCTTCAATTTCCCCCATTTTTGCTCCATTTTTTTCTCTTTTTCTCTCTTTTCCCCCATTTTTTTCTAGTTTTTCCAAAATTTTCCCCATTTTTTTCTCCATTTCCATCCTATTTTTCCCCATTTCCCCCTATCTTCCCCATTTAACTATCCCAAAAATTAATATTTTGGAGGGATGAATGGAATGGAATGAAATGAAATGAAATGAAATTTTGGTGGGAAAAAAATAGAAATTTTGGCGGGAAAAAAGGGTGTTTTGGAGGCAAAACTCCATGAATTTGAATCACAACTTTCCCATGATTTTTCGCAATTTCCAGTTGGAAGGCGACATGGAATTCATCTGAACATTCTGGAAGCTGGAAGAAGACCAGGCCATCAACCTTCCCAAAAATCTGGACCAGCTCATCCACAATTCTAATTTTCCCTACTCCCTGGATTCCCAGGTCTGAAAATTCTTCTATGACCTCCCAGAGAGGCAATTCCCAAAATTCCATGGAAAAATGGGATAGGGGGATTTCATCCTATTTTTTTCCTGATTCTTCCCATTTTTTCCTAGTTTTTTTTTTTTCTCCATTTCTTCCTGCTTTTTTCCTGATTTTTCCTGATTTTCCTCTTTCTTTTCCAGTATTTTCCCCAATTTTTTTCACTCTTTCCCATTTTTTCGTGATTTTTTTTTCTGATTTTTTTATTTTTCCGCATTTTTTCACCATTTTTTCCAGTTTTTCCTGATTTCCCCTATTTTTTCTTGATTTTTCCCTCGTTTTTTCCCCAGTTTTTTCCTGTTTTTCCCAGTTTTTTCTCTATTTTTCCTGATTTTCCCCTAATTTTTCCTAGTTTTCCCTGATTTTTCCTAATTTTATCCCTGATTTTCCACCATTTTTTTTCATTAATTTTTTTCTGATTTTTTCCCTGATTTTTTCCAGATTTTATTCCCTTTTTCTTTTCCTGATTTTTCCCTCATTTTTCACAATTTTTTTCGCATTTTTTTTCCCACTTTTTCCTGATTTTTCTTTCTGATTTGTCCCAAATTTTCCCCATTTTATCCTAATTTTTCCTGATTTTTGCTGTCCATTTCCTTAATATTTCCTGGCCTTTTTCCCATTTTTTTCCCATTTTATGAGATTCTCTCCCCACTTTCTTTTCATCATTTTACCCTGATTTTTTTCCTTGATTTTCCCCATTTTTTTCCTGGACTTCTTCCTCTTTTTTTTCCTGATTTTTCCCTGTTTTTTTTCCCAGTTTTACCCCCCTTTTTCTTTTCCTGGTTTTCCCTCTTTTTTTCGCAATTTTTTCTTGCTTATTTCCCAATTTTTTCCCAATTTTCCCCAGATTTTTCCCTGTATTTCTATAATTGTTTACTGATTTTTCCTGATTTTTTACAGGTTTCTTTCCCCTCTCTTTTCTCGATTTTTCCCAATTTTATCTCAATTTTTTTCCTGATTTTCCCCACTTTTTCCTTATTTTTCCTGATTTTTTTTCCTCTTGCTTATTCTCATTTTTTTTGCAATTTTTTTCCAAATTTTTTCTCAAACTTTTCCTTGATTTTTGCAGTTTTTCACATTTTTTTCAAATTTTTTCCCCTGTTTTTTCCATTTTCCTTTCCCAAATTTTTCTGGTTTTCCCCAATTTTTTCCTGATTTTTAAATTTTTTTTTTATTTTTTCCATTTTTTTTTATCCTTTTCCTGATATTTCCCTGATTTTCCCCTGATTTTTCTTTTTTTTCATGTTTTTTTTTTACGATTTTTTTCCGAATTATTTTCCTGATTTTTTTGCAATGTTTTCTCAAATATTTCAGTTTTTTCCTTGACTTTTCCAATATTTTTCCTGATTTTTCCCAGGGTCTTTTCGTCTTTCTTTTCCTGATATGTTCCCTAATTTTTCAGAATTTTTCCCAATTTTTTTCATGCCTTTCCCATTTTCTCCTGATTTTTCTCTCTTCCAAAATTTTATCTAGCTTTATCTCAATTTCTTCTCAAATTTCCCTTGATATTCCCTGATTTTTCATGTTTTTTTTCCCAATTTTTTCCCAGTTTTTTTCCAGATTTTATTCTTCTCTCTTTTATGGATTTTCCCCAATTTTTCTGAGTTCTTTCCCAGTTTTTTTCCTGATTTTCCTAATTTTTTTCTCCATTTTTCCTGTTTTTTTCCTTCTTTTCCTATTTTTTCCTGATTTTTTTTCCAAGACTTTTCCTGATTTTTCCCAGATTTTTTCCACTTTCTTTTCCTGACTTTTTCCCAATTTTTCCCATTTTTTCCTTGAGTTTCCTCCTTTTTTTCACCAAATTTTTTCCTGGGTTTCCTCAATTTTTTGTCAAATTTTTCCCTGTTTTTCCCAAATTTTTCCCAATTTTTTCCTTATTTTTCCCCCTTTTTTTTTTATTTCTCCCTGTGTTTTTTTGTTTTTTGTTTTTTTTTTTTTCACTTTGATTTTTCCCTTCTATTTTCCTTGAATTTATTCTGGGTTTTTTCTCATTTCTTCCTAAATTTTCCAGTTTCCTTCACACTCCCAGTCTGATCTCAGACACTCTCAGTATGATCCCAGTAACTCCCAGTCTAATCCCAGTCACTCCCATTATGAGGCCAGTGGCCCCCAGTTGCTCCCTGTCAGTTCCACTATGACCCCAGTAGCCTCCAGTGTGATCCCTGGGACTCCCTGTCTCTCCCAGTATATTGCAGTCAGCCCCAGCATGCTCCCAGTCATTCCCAGCTCCTCCCAGTTGCTTTCAGCATGATCCCAGTTGCTCACAGCCACTCCCAGTCAATCCCAGTATGATTCCAGTCGCCCTCAGTGGGATCCCAGTCTCAGCCAGCATGGACCCAGCTGCTCCCACTGTGATCCCAGTATGATCCCAGAATAGTTGCAATTCTTCCCAGTTCCTACCAGTATCATCCCAGTTGCCCCTGGAATAGTTCCAGTCCATCTCAGCATGATTCCACCCACTCCCAGTTGCCCCCAGTGTGGTTCAGCTGTTCCCAGTGTGGTTACAGACACTCCCAGTATATCCCAGTTTCCCCAGCAGGGTTTTGGTTAGCTCAGAATAATCCAATTCTTTCCCAGTTACTCCCAGTTGCTCCCAGTATGATCCCAGCTGTGGTCTCAGTCCCCTCAGCATGGTTCCAGTACCTTCCAGTTGATCCCAGTTGCTCCCAATATGTCCACATTTTCCTCCCAACATGGTCCCAGTAGCTCCTAGTAACCCCCAGTCAGGTTCCATTCACACCCACTGTAATCCCAGTGGTTCCCAGTGCTATCCCTGTAGGAGCCATAGTCACTCCCAGTGTGGTTCCAGTCACTCCCAGATCCTCCCAGTCTGATTCCAGTCATTGCCAGAGTGACTCCCTGTCAACTCCAGCATGGTTCCAGTCACAGCAAGCACCTTTCCAGTCACTCCCAGTATGATCCCAGCTAGTTCCAGTAGGATCCCAGTATGACCCCAGCACGGGCACAGCTGCTCCCAGGATTATCCAGTGTGGTTCCAGTTGCTCCCATTTACCTGCACTGTGGTTTCAGTGTCTCCCAGTCTATCCCAGTTGCTCCTAGTCACTCCTCAGTTGCTTCCAGGCTGATCCCAGTTGCTCCCAGCCACTCCCAGTCACCCTGAGTGCAGTCCCAGTTGCTGCCAGTATGGTCCCAGTCTTGCCCAGCATGACCCAGCTGCTCCCACTGTGATCCCATTAGGATCCCAGTTGTCCTCAGCATGGTTCCAGTTGCTCCCTCATCCTCCCAGTGTGATCCCAGTTGCATCCAGTGTAGGCCCAGTCACTCCCACTCGCTCCCAGTTGTCCCCAGCATGATTGATTGTTCCCCGTGTGATTTCAGTCCCCCCAGTGTGGTCACTGACATTCCCAGTATATCCCATGTGCCCTCACCATGTTTGTGCTCATTCCCAAGGATTCCCAGTTGCCCCACTAAGGTTCCAGTTACCTCAGTCCAAACCAGTCCCTGCCAGTGCTGCCGCTCCTGGGATCCCCCAGCCCTCTCTGTGTTCCCCGCTCCCGCATCTCCCCAGAGGAGCCCCAAGGGCTGGCAGTCCCCAGCCAGGGTCCCCAGCCAGCCCCAGGTTGGATCTGCAGCCCCCAATTTTCCCAGTTTCCCTCTCCTTTTCCCCGGGCCGGGTTCCCCTGTTCCCAGCGGGTGGGAGCAGGGGAGAGCCCTGCGCTGCCCATCCCGACCTGTCCCGGCTCCATCCCTGCTCCTGCTGTGGGCTGAGGGGTTTGGGAACGGGGCACCGAGGGTGTCGCTGCTCCTGGGGGAGGAGGAGGGATGGAAGGGATGAAGAGAGCAAGAAGAAATGGAAGTAGGAGAAGAAGGTGGGGATAGGGAGGAGGAGCGGGAGGAAGAGGAGGGACAAAGGAAGATCATGGAAAGGAGACGGAACCACAAAGTTGAGAACACGCTGATTTTACAGCCCCCACTCGTGGGATCATCACCCCCAATCCCATAGGTGCCTGGGGAGGAGGAGCTCGGCCCAGATATTCTGGGAGTCCCTGGGTTGGGTTTTTTGTGGGGGGATGTTTGGAGAACGAAGAACTCCAAAGCTGAGCGGAAAATGCTCCTTGGGAGGACCTCAGGGGGTCCCAGAATCACTAGGTGGGGAGATGGAAACATGATGAACTTTTCAGACACCTGTCACTCCCAGCAGCCTGGGGAAGGCAGGGACCGAGCAAACAGGGGACCCCCAGTGCAAGCGTGACCCTGAGCACCTGGGACAGGGGGGAACCCCTGAGCGCCAAAGGGGACAGACCAGAGATGGGGAACTCCTGGGAGGCATTTTCAGGACTGAATCTTGGTGTTTGGGAGGTTTATATGGGCACCAGATGCCTGGTGACTTCTAAAGGTGGACTTGGAGAGAAGAAACCCCTTAATCCAATGTGCTCATACATTGTATTTTTTCCCAAACCAGGATTTTCCATTCTGAAATCTTGGCTGGATGGAGAAAGAGGCTGTGAGGAAGAGGAAGATGCCCCAGGACACCCAGGCAGGTGAGGAAGAAGTCAGTGCCCCTTTCCCCCTCTCTCCTGCTCCATCTCCCAGCCCAGCATGACCCCGGCTGCAGGACAACCCCGCTGCCGACGCCGTCCTGCTGGGGACGCACTGGGGGGATCTCCTTCCCCTTCCCTCTGGCACGGAGGCAAATCCCATCCTCTCCTTGTCCTTCCTCCCCCAGACAAGGAGCTGAGGATGGAGACCAGGGAGGACAAATCCCCACGGCAGAACCTCGTGGAAGAGGCTGATTTGAGCAGCTCCACAGTGCAGGAATCCAACAGGGAAGAAAAGCTTCAGAGATCCTGCAGGAGGAGGGGCTCCAAACCCATCCCAGGGTGCTCTGAGGAGGAAAGACCCACCCTGTGCCGGGAAGGCAGCCAGAGATCCAGCCAGGGCTCTGAGCTGGTGGTCCATGAGCAGCTTCAGGATGGGGAGAAGCCCTACAAGTGCTTGGAGTGTGGGAAGAGCTTCAGCCAGAGCAACAGCCTGATCCGCCACCAGATGATCCACACTGGGGAATGGGCCTACAAGTGTGGAGAATGTGGGAAGGGCTTGAGCTGCAGCTCCGAACTCATTGTCCACCAGCGCATCCACAGCGGGGAGAGGCCCTACGAGTGTCCTCAGTGTGGGAAGAGGTTTCAGACCAGCTCCACTCTCCTCGTGCACCAGCGGATTCACACGGATGAGAGGCCCTTCCGCTGCCCCGACTGTGGGGAGGGCTTCAAGCACAACTGCACCCTCGTCAGGCATCGGCGCATCCACACTGGGGAGAGGCCCTACAAGTGTCCCCAGTGTGGGAAGAGCTTCACCCAGAGCTCTACCTTGACCCAACACCAACAGAGGCACCGGTAAGGGAAGCCCTGCGAGTGCCCCAAGTGCAGGAAGAGCTTCGTGCACTGCCCCAGCTCCATCCCCCATGAGAGAACCCACGTTGGCCCAAGCCCTGATGACCTACGTTCCCAGTGATCTGTGTTGGCAACACACTGGGTTGGTGGTCATTTTATTTTGGTTTCAATCATCTTTTGATTCATCCTCATCCAGTTAAAACCAACAAATATTGGTAAAAATCAACAAATTCATCAAAGGCATCTAAAGCTTCACATTTTACTAGAGCTTCAAGGGAATTTGAGAGATACTTGGGAGTATTTGGGAGTTGTGGGCTTATTTGGTGGAGTTGTCTCCATTTCTTGGCATTCAAAGAGATGAGAGGGTTCGATCTGTCATCTCAAAACCACTCAATGCCACTGAATTCTACTCAGTCCCTCTCCAAAATTATTTAATTCCACAGCCTCTCAGGGTGTGATGCCTTAAGTTTTAGCTTTCATATTTTTCATATTCTATGCTGCCTAGGTTTGTAGTTTTGAACTTCCTATTAAGTGTTAGTGAGCTCTCTTCACAGAGTAGGTAGACAAAACAATTCCTTTTCTAGCTTGATACCAAGGACAATTGTTACAAGTTCCAGGCCAAAAGCAAAACCAAGGGTGCACTGAAGAGAGAAAACAAGAAGGATGGGATTTCATCATCAGAAGCTGTCATTGGACAATGAACCCCAATATGCGGTTGGACCTAAACTTCTAAAAATGTGAGACCTTGTGATGAGTTGTCCATTTTTGTGACCATTTCTGGTCCATCTTGGGTGTAACCCTGGCCAGGCTCTTGTACTGCCCAAGGTGTATCTGCAACATGCCGGTCGTGAGTTGGGAGACAAAATCCACGACTCGTGCTCCAGTTGCTCATCAGACAAAACAGCCTCGTTTACTATTCAGAACTCACTTGAATACCAAGTTCAGATTTCCCAGGCTAGACAGCCATTGGTTGATACTTCTCTCCCTGCCCTGCATCCTGGCCAGTGGTGTGCACTGATTCAGACATGAATTAGGCTCACTAATTAGATTTGTGTTATGGCTAAAGTAGATTTACTGCTAAATTAGATTTGTGTTATGTCTAGATTTACTTTGTCCAGTCCTGACCAGCTCTACTGTGACCATACTGTGACAATTCACCCTTTTTGGTTAAATTAAAAAATATAAAATGCTCTCTGTTATCCTGTCTGCAAGGGGCCTTTGCAGACATGATATCAGGGACAGCATGGGTTTAATTTGAATGAAGTTTTCTAATTAATTTGACACAATTAATTCTCTTCAGCTAGCAATATGCTTTGTGTACTAAATTGAATTTGGAACACTCACTTCCAGGAGCTGGCAGACAGGATCACAATCCTTCAAGCTAACATGCCACAGGTTAACTACTTATAGTTAAAAGCTACAACTTAACATTAAAAAACAAGAAACCGTTTAGAACTGAGATTATACCTGAACTCTATAAACAAGAAAAAAAAAAACATTCAACATTTAGAACCATGAGAAAACCCAACTTAGCAGAAAAACAATTTGTAAACAGTTTTTGAATAAACTGTCTTTCCAAGAGTCTGATTTTCATGGTGAATAAGTTGTTCTGGTTACTCTTCCTCAATCTGCTCCATGACATCCGTAGAGGTACTGTCCGGAGGGTGTTGTTTGTGTCCTTTGGCTGTATGTTCGACTCTTTCACATCAATTGCAGCTTGCATTATCACTTCTTTGTCCCTGAGCTGTCCCCTGTGGAATGGGCTTGTGTGGACAGTTTATTTTCCTGTGACCTTGTCCACACTTGTAGCAATGGGGTGTGAGTTTAACGGCAGCTGTAATAGAATTGGCTAGCATATCCATGTTATGAGATCCAGTCCCAACCTTAGCACATGCTGTAATCATCTCCTCCAGAGATGGATGCTCTTGAGGTAATGCAGCTATAATTTTTCTGCAGTCTTGGTTTGCATTATCTCGTGCCAATTGTAGCATTAATTGACCCCTTGCTTCACTGTTTGCGATTTGCTTTTCCATAGCATCCTGCAAACGTTCTATGAATTGTATATAGAGCTCATGGGGGTTTTGTCTTCTACTTGAATAGCTTTGGGTTCTCACTGACAAGTTGGTAATTCTTGTTAGAGCTCACATTGCTAAGTCTTTCACTTGTGTTAGAATTGCAGAGTTCAAGCACTCTGGGTTTGGGGATCTTCTGATACTGCTGAATGATTTATTGTATGAACAGCCTTAGCTACTTTGCTTTCTGGGGTCCCACCACACATCCCTCCCTTTTGTTTTTCAATAATTACTGTTAAAGTGCCATGTGCTCTTTCCACAATGGCCTGTTTTATTGTTATATGAGGAACGCCAGTGTGGTGTGTTACACTCCAGGGCAGTAGGAAATGTTTTGTTTTCTGTGAGATGTATGTTGTTTTGATGCTATGAGGGATGCTCAAAACAGCAAAGGCTGACTGCCAGTGTACAATGGCATCCCGACCCTTTTTTCTTGTGTGTTTTATAGCACATATTGCTGATGAAAAGGTATCTATGGATAAGTGTATATATTTTAAATGTCTATATTCAGGGATGTGTGTGACATGGGTTTAGCAGATTTGTAAGGCACACAGTCCACGAGGGTTTGCTCTCATCTGCAGTGGTGCAGTGTGGCCCTGGTGTCCTGATGGGACACTTGTGGTTGGGTTCTTTTTCCCCCTTGGACTGAAGATTGACAAGAGAGAGGCAGTTTTCTCTTGTTTGGACTTGGTTGTTTATTCTTCTTTTATCTCCATTACATGTATACAGGGTACAAGGAGCCACAAGCAGCTATGTGCACTAAGATAGAAATGTGCAAAATGACTAACAAAGATCTTCTTCAAGGCTTTTTATATGTTCATTTACCCAATTAACAAATGCCAAGGAAATATTTTTTCTTAGTGACACAATGACCCACTGCACTGCAGCATTCGCTATCCAGTCACCTACTACTACCCAAAAACCTCTAGAAGAAGATGAAGAAGAAAGAAGGACAAGAGACAACACCCTGAATCTTCCATCTTGTATTCTGTTCTCTAAACTCTGAACTTTAACCTTTTCACCCAGTGACCCAAGAAAACTCCCTAATTTACACACTTGCACTCCTAGTTTTTCTGTTTAACAGTTATTTTCAGGGTGTTATATGAAATTCGGTGTTTTCTTGGATGTCAGAGCCAGGTATCAGAGATAAGGGCACATTCTTGGTGCCTCTGACTCCAACAATAAACTAAGTTGAATATTGTTAAGTGCTATTCCACTGTTAAATCCTGAAGTCATATAAGTTAGCTTAAATACTGTTAATAGCTTTTGCTAAATTATGATGTTTGAGGTATAAGGGAAGTCCTGTTAAGTTTGAACTCAAGCTCAAACACACACACACACACACACACACACACACACACACACACACGGTTCTGGGTTCATTTCTGGTTGGATTGCCTGGATTGTGTTTGGTTTTGTTGTTGCTTTGTTTCCTTGCTGTGCCTGAAGTGTTCAGTCAGGAGCAGAGTGACTCTTGCCGAGGAACTTTGTGCTGCTGGTGCGTAATATTAAATCTGGTTTTTGCTGCTCCCTTGCTGGGGATTTTTAAGCGCTCTCAAGCCCTCATTGGTGACAGGGTGAAGGAGCTCTGGTGCAGGCTCTGGCCCTGGGGGACACAGGGACGCTGTCACAGGGTCCTTTTCCTGCTGTCCCAGGCCCCACAAGCACTTGGAATGACCCAGAGCCATTCTGTGATTTCCCAGCCCCTCTGAGCTGGCAGAACCCACTCTCTGATGTCACAACCTTCTCTCTGACATCACACATCACACACTCTTCTCTGTGATGTCCCAGGGAACACTGTGATGTCATAACCTGCTGTCTGTTGTCACAGAACTGCCCTCTGGGATTGTGGTGTCTGCTCTGTGACCTCACAGCCCACTCAGTGATGTCACAGCCCACCCTGTGGTGGCTCTGTGATGTCATACAGAAACTCTGTGATGTCACAACCCACTCTGTGATGTCATGCATTCAACCTCTGATGTCATAGTCCTCGATGTGATGTCACAGCCCACTGATATCACCCATCCCACGCTGTGATGTCACACCCTGCTTTCTGATGTCACAGAATCCCCTCTATGATGCTGTAGCTGCTCTGTGACCTCACACAACAAACTCTGATGTCACAGCCCCATCTGTGACCTCACACAACCCACTTGGAGCTGTCACACAGCCCCTTTCTGACATCACAGCTGCTCTGGGGCTCCAGGACACAGCCACAGAGGTGCTGCTGTGACACAGCCCCCTCTGGCACATCCCACAGCGCCTGCCAGTGCTGAGCCCTTGGGAGCTCTGTCTGGGCCTGCTCATGTCCCTGAGCTGCCCTGGCAGGGCCCCAGCCCTGCTGAGCTGTGCTCAGGAGCTGCTCCTGGCCAGAGCTGTCTCTCTGCAGCACTGCCCTTGCCAGGAGCTGCCTCTGGGCCAGGAGCCCGGCCCAGCTCAGCAGCACAGACACAGCACCAGCACTTTCATCACCCTCTCGGGCCTTTGGGGCTCTTGGCATCACACTCAGTCCCTCAGAGTGTGCTCCAAAACCTTCTCAAGAACTCCAAGTCAGACGGAAACACTGAAGTTTCTTGTAGTTGAAATGAGAGACACGAGTGAGAAAGCGTCCCCAGGTTCCAGGTAGAGCAGAAGACTGGAGGCCCTGATGACAGCTGGGGACAAGCAAGGGAAAGGTGTCTGTGGTGCTGAGCAAAGCTGGATGTGTTTCAGGAATGCCAAGGGCCAAGGGCTGAGCCCCAGCCCCTGGCAAGGCAGATGCTGTCCCTCCCTCATTGCTCAGGGCTCTTCCCGGGGCACTGGCATGTGGGGATGTGCAATGCCAAGGGCAGCACCATGGGGCGGCCCCTGCCAGGCTGCTGAGCAGGGACAAGGAGGCAATGAGGCCCCAGGGCTGCCAGGGTAACTTGTCCCCTGCTGGCCTCAGGCCCAGGGCCAGCAGCCATAGCCAAAGGGCTGCACAAGTTGCCTCTGGCAGGGCCTTTCAGCTGCACAGCCCAGGGCCCTCAGCCTCTACCTTCTGCATATGTGATGAGGCCTCCAGACCCCATCCTGGGAGATTTTTGGGTCCTCTCCATGGTCTGTGAAAATGGAAACACTGGTCAAAATTATTTCCTCCCAAATCTTGCAGTGAGAGAAAAAGGATCAATAACTTTAAAGTGAATTGCCGCGGCGACAGAAAGCCCGGAGCACCATGACTTCTCTAGAGGCAGCCCTGAAAAGGGCTGGGCCGAAGCGTGTGCGAGCAACTTCGGGCAGTCGGTGATTTCAGCTCAGCTCAGCGGCGGCGGGCAGGCAACACAGGAAGCAGGGACGAGAAAGCTGGTCCAGCATTCCGCTAAGCACAAACCTTTATTCAGGCAGAGCTTTGGCGAAGGGAGCTAGCAACAGCTAATCCCCCAAACAGGGGAAAAGCCGGGATATTTCTGGGGAAGGAGAGGGGCAGGGGGAGCCTGAGATACTTGTATCAGGGTGGGACAACAGGGGGGAACACCAATGGGGCACAACAGTTTAACATATCTAACTCAAAGACCTTTGGGAGTGACACATTGTGTCTCTCTTACAGAGAAGTATCTTGTCTCCAGGGCAGAGCGAGGATCTCGGGCTCTGCTGGCTCCTCCGTGCCCACAACTCCCCCTTCTTTACTTATTAAAAAGGCATCTCCTAGAGAGTTAGCTAATAGCTTCTTAAAACATGAAAACATACTTAGGAAGATAATAACAATCAAGAAAACCCAAAAAATGTTCTTGAGGACGGAGGCAACCCATCCTTTGAGCCCTTAGCTCCCAAAAAGGTCCTCAAGCCACTGGGGCTCCTTTTCAGTCTGGAGTTCCTCGACCGCGTATTGGGGTCTCTGAATGCGGGCGTGGATGCCTTCACTGGGGCTGGAGAGGTCAAAGCAGCACAGTCTGTTAAATTTCTCGCAGCCGTGTCCATGGACCAGGAGCAAAAGGTCTAGAGGGTTGGTGGCACTGCCCATGGACAAGCACATGTGTTCTTGTTGAAGCATCTTTGCGAGGGTGATCCACACGTTCTCCTGGGGCTGTGCTACTAGCCAGGCCTCTACAGCTGATGTTTTCAGGAGCATCCAGATAATCAGGAACATCAGGAACTCAAGGATGGTTTTGCTCTCCATTTTCTATAACAGGACATAAAAGATTAGCTCTGATTTTTGGAGGGGGGGGGGAGCTATTTTCTTTTTCCCCTTCCTCTCCCGTCTCCCCCCTCTTTAAAAAAAAAACAAAAAAAAACAATTATAAGCAAGGTTATTCTGTGTATTGGGGACACCTGACCCGACATCAGCAGCAGCACAGAGGTGCACTTTGGTGTAAACTGGCAATTTGGGCTAGGCAACGAGGGCGAGAAGGGGAAGGGGGAGTGAGTTAAGAAGACTTGTGTACTGTCACGGTGTCAGGCGTGACGTTGGCAGTCGTCTCGTTGTGGCCCTGGTAGCAGGACGGTTTGGCCTCTGTCTGGTTGTTGGTCTGGTGGCAGGTCGGTTCGGTGGACTCC